ATTTATCACGGTCAACAGATTATGCGGAGGTGAGGGTGGCGAATGTGTAGACGCCGAGGCGAGCGTGCTCTCTCTCTCTCTCTCTCTCTCTCTCTCTCTCTCTCTCTCTCTCTCTCTCTCTCTCTCTCTCTCCCCGCGTCAAAATCAGCCATCATGAGTCTGGGAGGTGCAGCGGATTATGCGAAGGTGATGGTGGCAAATGCGCAGACGCTGAGGCAAGCGTGCCCTTTCTCACTCTCTCTCTCTCTCTCTCTCTCTCTCTCTCTCTCTCTCTCTCTCTCTCTCTCTCTCTCTCTCTCTCTCTCTCCTCGCTGAAATTGGACATCATGAGTCTGGGATGTGCAGCAGATTATCAGGTTCACCGGATTTTGAGGACGTGATGGTGCCAAATGCGCAGACGCTGAGGAGAGCCGTCTAGTATTCCCCACCTTCCTTCGTCCCACCTTGCAACAACCTGTTTGTATCCATGCTGTGTCCGATGACAAACAGGGGGATCGCACAGGGAAACATCTGTCGCAATTGGCGATTACGAATCTGGGATTCCATCCTGTGCTAAGGTGTGGGAAGGAAGCACGAAGCGGGAATTGACACACATGCGATCTCATTCATTAGCACCACTGTCGATTTTCTGCTAGGTCATATGAGTGTGCAATCTACCGTAACCCACCTCCACCCTCACCTCCTAATAATCCGTTGAACCTATAATATGTGCAAGTGGTGATAATCTGTCGTTCGGCCTCCACAGTCGTCGGGCGGTTGCCCCCTTTGTCATGACCAAAGCGTTTCGAGAACAGGCGGTTGTCGGCAAGGTCTCCCAGAGAATTCCTAGGAGAACCATCATTTTGTCAAATTCCGAACTCTACGGCACCAGTCTCGCGCGATTTTTGGCCATCCGCCGAGATCGTCTTTGGTTCTACATGAAACAATTGAAAATTGAAACAATGGCATCTACTTCGTACTCTATAGAACCAACGTCGATGCTGAGATCGGATGTGCACATTTCACGGCTAACGACTATGCACAGACCAAGTCCGGTTTACCCAACCAAGTAAGCATCCGACAACCATGCACTAAGAGCAGGCGCCTTTTTTGGCGAGCCCGTTCGGGTTTCTGCGTGTTCCGGATGCCCATTCAGAGGCAACCCCACGCTGTAAGGAACGTCTTTACCCCGCATGGGGCATCTCCAGCCCTCAACGAACTCTTCCCATCCGATAAAGTATACCATCCGATGTAAGCATCCGACTGCCATGCAGTAAGAGCTTTCGCGTTCTTGCGTGTTCCGGATGCCCATTCAGAGGCCCCCCACGCTGTAAGGAACATTTGTACCCCGCATAAACATCTCGAACCCTCGGCGAACTCTTCCCATCCCATGTGTACATCTCATGGCCAGGTAAACCTGTGTAAATGTGAGCGGTTGTGTTGGGGAACCTCACGGGGGAAAGTAAAAAATGCTCCATGTGACAAAAACAAAACTTGATAAAAATTGCACCGCCTCATTGCGAAAGTCCATGGTTTCCCGCTGACACATGTAAGGCGTCAGATATCAGACGTCAAACGGCTCAAACTTCGAAAAAGACTGATTTTTTTTTTTAACAAATAAATAACAAAAGAAGTCAAAAAAAAAAAACGATTGTAAACTAAGCGCACTAAGCGTGCCGCCCCTACAATGACCTCCGCACCTACGCTGTACAAAGGCTTTTACCCCGCACACAGGGATCCCGGCGAACTCTTGCCATCCGATGTGCACATTTTTTACGATCGGGTAAATATCTACATTTCACCTGACGTAAACAATGTTGGGGCCCTTCACGAAATGAAGTACAAAATTCCACCGCCTCATCGCGAAAGTCCGTGGTTTCCCGCCTACACATGTTGGGGCCCTTCACGAAATGTAAGGTGTCAGATGCCAAACGTCAGACGGCTCAAACTTCGAAAAAGATCGAAATATTTTTTTTTTAACAATTAAATAGCAAAAGAGAAGACAAAAAACAAAACGGTCATAAACTAAGTGCACTAAGCGTGTCGACCCTAACAGTAGAATTGCATCACAAGTTTCACCAAATAAGAAGACACCAAGAGCTCAAAATTGACAATGCTGGTAATGTCTCATCATCATCATCAAAGAAGAACCAATGTTGATATCCTATCTGGCGCTCGGCGCCCAGACTACAGATGGCAGATCCTATCTAGCCTAAACTACAATGCCGAAAGATGACATCAACAACTTTCCTGAAGTACGAGCATACAACGACCTATGTCGCACGCTTCCAGCACCAGGTATGTCTCTCGCTTCACTCACAACCTCGTTCCCCAACACACAGATGCCACTAGCACCCAAGGACCACCCTGCTTCACACCCAGCTCACAGCGGAGCAGCTCGGTTATGGCTGCCCGCTCCTTCCTGCTCGCCCGTGAGAGCATGAGTGCCAGCCAGCAAATAGCGCAGCAGCGCTTGCGCAGCATGCAGCCAGCACCCAAATGCCGAAGAAGGAGGCAGGCCCTTTGCTATATCGAAGTGGCCTGCCTGCGTCCAGTCCCAGGAAGCTTCCAGTAGGCCCCGGTAGCCTGAGGCCTAGCACGATCGAGAACAGGCCTGGGGCCTGCGGTAGTTGCATGTGCCCAACTGCCTTTGGCATGTGCTTGGCCCAGTACCCGTATCCAGCCCAGGGTCTGCTTTCCATTCATTCACACAGGCGGCCCAAGGCCTAGGTTTCTGCGCAACTGCCTGAATTTCCTTAGTTGCTGAGTGGCCAAAATAGGGCCCTGAGGGCCTCGTCGAGCCTGCCTTCACTTAGGGCGGCCGACTGGCTCCAAAATGGGGGCTGAATGGGGCTCATAGAGGCACTAGCCTCGCATTCCCTCCTCCTTAGCTTCAACAGTCCTCTGAGAAGCTCAGTCTTCAATCATGGGGCGCTTTCCTTTCTCGGAGATCTCTCGTAATGGGCTACAACTTGAGGAGCGGTCTGCATGAGTTCCTCCCTGATGAGCCAATGGTCCTCCTTCGGATCAGTGTGATACCGGAACCGAACACGATACTGCAGCTTCGGTTTCGAGGGTGTCCCCTGCCTGTTGGTCTTGATGCCGACAGCTCTCTGTGGCCCACGATGTCATTGATGTCCACCTCTCCGTCCATGGTTGGGGGTAGCATTGAGCGTCGAGATGAAAACTGATCAGTTTCTTTGAAAGGTGCCAGCTTGGAGGTGTGAAAGACAGGGTAAGTTCGGAGATGACCAGGTATCCGGATAACATAGGATGGACCATCCGGATCTGTCCCAACAATGTCTAAAACTTCCCAAGGTCCAAAGTATTGGGGAATGACTTTGCGGGAAATCCCGTGCTCCTGTCCCAGTTCTGAAGACTTAACCCAGACTCTGTCCCCGACCTGAAGCGTAGAAGGACGGCGGTGTCTATTTTCAGACTCTATCATTGCAGCCTGTGCCTTCTGCATCTGTTCTACAGCCTGCTGCATCTTCTGTTCATACCGATAAGCAAATTCTAAGGTACCTGGTGCAGCAGTGGACTGATTCTCAGGAAGAAAGTCTAAGGGCAGTCTAGGCTTGAAAGTTAGCAATAAGCTGTTTGGGCTCACCCCGGGGGCGTTGTGTACAGCGTTGTTGTACAAGTTGGCGATAAGAGCCAACTTCTCATCCCAATCCACCTGGTTGGGCTTGATGTAATGCCTCAACAGGTGTTGCACAGCGCGGTTCAGTTGCTCAGCCTGTCCGTTGGCCTCTGGGTGATTCCCAGAAGTCATCTACAACTGAGTTCCCTGCTCTCCAGCAGCGGCCTTCCGCAACTCGCTGGTAAACCAGACATCCTTGTCACTGATAATAGACTTCGGGGAAACCGAAGTCCCTGACCCAGTTCTCTTTGAACATCCTGATCACATACTCCGTCTTTGTTGTTTCCGACATTGCTACTAACCTAGCATACTTACTAAATCTATCCACGATGACGAAGATATGTCGCATCCCACTCTTGTTGGTGACCAGAGTATCCATGGAGTCCATGGACAGGCTCTCACCAGGCCGTTCCGTAATCGGAAGGGGTTTCAGAAGCCCAAGAGGAGCCTGAGTACGTGGCTTGTCCCGTTGACAAACTTGACAAGTCTCAACGTACAGCTGGGCATCTCGCATCATCGTGGACCACCAGAACCGCTGCACCAGGTTGGCTGCGATCTTTTTATACCCAAAATGGCTGGTGGCATCATGACACTCACCTAAAAACAAACTACGCAAAGACTCGCTATTGGGAACACACAGTCGTTTATTCCCTGCCTTCTCAAGGAACAGCAAGCCATTGACCAACTCAAACTCGGCAGAGGTCTTCTTGTCCTTTGCCTAAAGTCTGCGTATGATCTCAGACATGAACTGGTCCTCACGATAGGCTTCCACCAAGGACTGAGTAACATTGTCCGTCAGATCGAACTCAGTAATCAGCGCACCTGAGAAATCAGGTCTACGCAACAAGGCATCAGCAACCTTGTTGTACTCCCCTTTCTGATACTGAGGGTCAAAGTCATACCGCTCAATGACTTCGATCCAACGCTTGAGGGCGTTAGAGAGTACAGGGTGAGTTTTCATCCATCTCAGGGTTTGATGATCAGTCGTGAGGATGAAGAACCTCGCAAGGAGATGGTGTCTCCAATGGGTCAGAGCCTTGTAAACCGCATAGAGTTCCTTCTCATAGGTGGACTTAGCCAACTTCTAAGACGGCATTTTCTTGGACATGTACTCCATAGGCCTAAACTTTGGCCCCTCCTGATGTGCGAGCACGGCGCCAATGCCATATTGGCTGGCATCCGTGGTGACTATAAACGGCTTATCAGGATCAGGAAGTTTCAAGACCTCGTAGTGCATCAACGCATGCTTCAGATGTCTGAAATCAGTCTCGCACTCATCTGTCCACTCCCATGGGGTGTCAAGGCGGGTCAGATCAGTCAAAGGAGCGGCCACTATGCTATAGTTCTTAACAAAAGTCCTATAGTAGTCTGTCATTCCAAAGAAAGATCTCATCTCAGTCACAGACTGAGGACGTGGCCAATCACGAATGTTGGCCACCTTCGCGTCATCGGGCTTTAACCCTTCCGCAGATATCTCATGGCCCAAGTACAAGACACGGGTGCGGCCAAACTCGCACTTCTCACCGTTGATCTTGAACTTGTGTTGTCGCAGTAGGCTGACTTTGTCCAAATGTGCAACATGCTCCTCGACAGTCTTACTAAAAATAAGTATGTCATCGAGGTACACGATGACAAACTTATCCAAGTAGTCATGGAATATCCGATTCATAGCGTGTTGAAAGGTGCCAGGAGCATTGCAAAGGCCGAAAGGCCTCACCACAAACTTGTACAGACCATACCTGGTCTGAAAAGCGGTTTTGTGCTGATCCTCGGGCCGGATTGCAATCTGATGGTACCCGGACTTCAGATCTATCTTACTGAAGTACCGACACCCTTGCACTCTATCTAACAGATAATCGATGTGTGGTAGGGGCTCTCTATTCTTAACAGTGATGGCATTGAGGCCCCTATAGTCAATGCACATCCTAAGTTTGCCCTCCTTCTTCTTAGGTACGAATAGTACTGGAGATCCATAAGGAGAGACACTCGGCCGGATCCAACCCTTCTCTACGAGTTCCTTGAGTTGTCGGCGAAGCTCATCAAGCTCGCTTGGAGACATCCGATAGATCCTACCCTTCGAGATGCTAGACCCTGCGATAATCTCTATCGCATGGACGACCTCCCTCTCTACAACCCCTGTAGGCTCTTCAAATACATCAGGGTACTTGGCAACTACTCCCTCTATCTCCAACGACATTTTCACGGGCTCGCCTGCAGCAGAGACATAAACTAAGTATATACCCTCCTCCTGATTTTGCTTATAATAGTTATAGAACGCGGCCGCACACATGCATCCATGGGACTCGATCAGACTACTAGTTTTGAACTTGTGCAATCTGGCCGTCCCTCCACCTGGCAAAGTGTGTTTGACCACTTTTCGGTCCAAGTCAAACTGGGGCTGTGCCACAGGGAGGTAGCACATACCTAACAACATGTCCATGGGGAGTTCATCGCTCACTAGGAACGAGACGCAATGTCTCAATTCCCCTCCCACGTACGGGAAACAACGCTCAATATCTTGGAGGTAGTCATTGACTACCATGCGCTGTTTGTTGGCACAGGTCGACTCCACAGGTCGACTCAGGCGCTGCACTCGCCCCTGTAAATGCAGCCTTTCAACGCACGCGCGACTGATAAAGTTTATAGTCGAGCAAGTGTCGTAATAGGCCCCGGCCTTGCGGCCGCCAATGACAACCTCGTTGACGAACATCTCACCTTTCGGGGCTTTGACTAGTGTCGTCCAAGAAGCTAGCGGGTCTGATCTAGACCACTCCACCTCTAGCTCCTCTAAGGATTCAAACACCTTCACCGGACAGAGGCTCGATGGGTCTGAATGTGCTTGTGGGACGACGCTGGGGTCAGTAGCTTGGGCCATCTCTCGAGATGGTGAGGGTGTCTCCACCACCTAGACCCTAACAGGAACAACTACTATTCCTACTGGCCCGACGTGTTTCCCGGAGCACTGCCTGAAGTACTGGCAACGTTGCTGCCAACGGGATGAGAGGATCCCAACACCTGCCCCATCGTAGGCGGGATTTTTTTTGTCACTTTCTTATTTCGCCACTTGAATTGGTTGTGGCCATATTGACCACAACGAATACAGGCCTGCCGTGAGCAACGATCTCGCAACACGTCCTCTGTAAGACCCGCTTTCTCCCATGGAGGAGCGTTGGGGTCGACTTGACTCCTAGACCAGGAGCCTCCGCGGCGTCTACCGGTCGTCTTTCCTTTTTGAGATACGACAGCGACTACTCCACCCTCTGAAGCGTCTACGCTGCCTGCCTCTGAACCTACTCCCTCCTGGAAGTTGCCGTCCAACTCGATGGTTGAACCATCGTTGTCGACAAACATCAAGCGACCTTTCGCTTTCCAGTTAGGAGGCAGTGTCTTCTTCCTCCCATCCGTAGTGGGTGCATGTCCATGCCCTATCTTTGCCTCAAGGTTTAGGGCCTTCTTGCTGAACGAAGGAAAGTTGTGCATATTGATGTTGGCCTCACCTGCCAACTGGTTCCTGAGAGGCAAAGAGAAGCATCTCAGGTACGAGGTGAGTAAAACCTGGGGGTCATAGCGCACCCCAGGGACAAAGATCAGACGCTCAACAGCGTCCGTGGCTTCCCTTACTAACTTAAACTGCCGCGTGTGCAGTGTCAGGATCGCATCAGTGGCCCTTTGGGCCTCCTGAGGATCATGCCACCTTTCCTCCACCAGCTTAAGGAAGTCATCCAATTTCTGGGTGACTGCCCAAGCGTGGAAGTCATGACCATACCCCTGGAGCTGCACTAAACCACTCAACCATCTTGTTGCACTACCCTCTAGGCAGGAGGCAGCCACAAGCACTTCTTCGTGCGGCAAGGTAAGTTTACACCTAACATAGACTGGCACTGCCCTCAACCACGTGTCGACCTCTCTTATCCCCTGTGAAGAGTTTCGGAGCGGCGATGGCCGTCTTTGGAACCCACTGTATTTGTCCCGGTCCCTGCATCACTCCGGGCTATGGACCCTGTGACACAGGTTGCTGTGCTAGCTGCTGTGGCTGTGTGCCTTGCAGGTGCACAGGCTGCGAGACAGCAGGCTGCGTGGTGACCGCAACCTGCAACAGAGATTGGGTGTACACTGTCTTTACAGGAACCTGCAAACTAGTTCCTGCTGATACCCCTCCTGATAGCGGCATGCCCACGGAAACGATCGCGACCGATGATGGGGCTACATATGGGGATACCCCAGTCACCGGTGGGACAAAAGGAGGAGGCTGTACAACGGGCCAGGCACCAAGCGTGGACATTGGCGACGTTGCCGACGCTCGCCCAACCAACAGGGCCAGACTTTGCTGGATGTCCTGAAGGATGGTTGTTTGCTGGTCCTGCATCTCCACTACATTCAGCAGTACAGACCGGATGATCCTCACATCATCCGTCACGTGTGTCAGGTCCATCTCCTCTAACTCACTAACGTCCGCCGCTCTCCGCTGCATCCTGGCTCTTCTTCTAATCATTCTTTCTTTCTCCGGTTTTATCTGTCCTAAGGCATGCTGCAGTTGTGCCTCCTGCAGGGCTGCCTGCTATATGGCGATCTCATCGGAAGTCAACACTAACGGCTGGCTTGCCATTACGCCAGTGGACTGACTCTGGGTCTGCGCGACCGTTGACCCGACAGATCCTGAACTACCGGCCTGAGAAGTCTGCTGCTCAGAAGTAGACATAGCTTCTGAAGCTGCGGCTTCACTCACAAGTGCCCGGCTCTAGCCTCTGCTGCTCTAGCCCTCCTCTGTTGTTGCAGCCTTTCTCTACGTTGGCGAAACAGGTACCTGTCACCCTATGGTCCTAATGCCAAGTGGGCAATCAGGCGCCTTGCCGATCGCAAGATCCGGTCGTCCGGTTGCTGTTCCTCCCTATCGCTCATAAGCTACAGCACTGTACACAATCTGCACTAATGCACTCTGGATGCCTACCGCAGCGTAGTGCACAGACCAACTAATTAGGTGGTTGCTATTTTGGAACAGATATCACTTGAGGTCAACAGGTAAGTCAGATTCCTACAAACAAAACTATTTTTAGCTTGACTAGTCCGCAAACAGAAGCACCATGAACAAGAAACAGTTCTAACTAATGTTGTCTGTCAGATGTCAATGGCTGTACACCTAACTAATCAAATCATAAAAATAGAATCATTTGTGTGGATAGGACAGCATGGAATTTTTCTCGAACTTATCACCTGAAATCTACCCCTCCCTTAGTTCCCCTGAGTATCACTTGACGTTAGCGTCCCTGAGCAATCCGGAGGCGTTGCGTGTTTAAAAGGTGTGTGTTCGGCCCACCCCTGTGCCCCGAGTACCTGCTGAGCTGGCCAGCCCTTCACTGGATTATCCTCACGTGCAGCGAGCCTTACAACCATTGGCTGATCCAGAGGCAATTTAACGTCCGCCCCCAAGTGACTCCAGGAATTCCTTTACGTCGCAGCCGGACGACGATCACAGCCAATGGTTCCCCTTCCAACGCTTATTTAAAGACGCCCGGTCTCGTCTCCCGTAAGGGCTGGCCTGCCCTTCAGTACCCATCTAACAGCGCAGCAAGCCGAACAAAGGACAAGCAGCAAAGCATGCGTGCTCTACTCCCGGTGGGTTGGCATGGTGACCGTGACCCAGTGCTTCGTCCAGGGCCCTTCAAAAACCTCCGCCCATCTTCTCCCAGATGCTCCACGTGAACATTGCCGACTCTCCAGGTTGAGCGCACTCGACACCTCACAATGAGAGGACTCTCAAAAAGGAACACACAACCTCACGGTAAGAAGTGTCGGAGAGGGTAGATAAGGTTAAGAGCAACGTACCTCAAATAGCTGCCCCCAACCACAGAGATAATCTCACCAGATGACCAAATGCCGATTTTGATGACCAGTCATTGCTTCGGTACAACCAGCATTGCACGCCGTTCCACCTCAGCACCAATCGCACATTAGATAGTTCTCATCACACTGTCATCACACTGTCCAGACCACATTACACCTCTCGTAGCCTTCCTGGCGATCCCCTCACCTCCTGGGTCGCCACTACACTCGTCTCCACCCTCCTCACTACACACCACTTACGGCCAAACTCGCCAAGCAGACCGCATGTATGTACCGCATAAGGCAGAAGACAAGCGCCAGATGAGCGCCATCGTACCACAACTCCGATACCAAATTGCAAGGAAGATGAGCAATAGCGAACTTCAGCAATCAAACAGCATCATATTCACAAGACCAGATAGTCGTGACCTCGAACCAACAGCAGAATTGCATCACGAGTTTCACCAAATAAGAAGACACCAAGAGCTCAAAATTGACAATGCTGGTAATGTCTCATCATCATCATCATCAAAGAAGAACCAATGTTGATATCCTATCTGGCGCTCGGCGCCCAGACTACAGATGGCAGATCCTATCTAGCCTAAACTACAATGCCGAAAGATGACATCAACAACTTTCCTGAAGTACGAGCATACAACGACCTATGTCGCACGCTTCCAGCACCAGGTATGTCTCTCGCTTCACTCACAACCTCGTTCCCCAACACACAGATGCCACTAGCACCCAAGGACCACCCTGCGCCACACCCAGCTCACAGCGGAGCAGCTCGGCTATGGCTGCCCGCTCCTTCCTGCTCGCCCGTGAGAGCGTGAGTGCCAGCCAGCAAATAGCGCAGCAGCGCTTGCGCAGCATGCATCCAGCACCCGAATGCCGAATGAGGAGGCAGGCCCTTCGCTATATCGAAGTGGCCTGCCTGCGTCCAGTCCCAGGAAGCTTCCAGTAGGCCCCGGTAGCCTGAGGCCCAGCACAATCGAGAACAGGCCTGGGGCCTGCGGTAGTTGCATGTGCCCAACTGCCTTTGGCATGTGCTTGGCCCAGTACCCGTATCCAGCCCAGGGCCTGCTTTCCATTCATTCACACAGGCGGCCCAGGGCCTGAGTTTCCTCAACCAACTGGCGCTGAGCAACTGCCTGAATTTCCTTAGTTGCGCAGTGGCCGAAATAGGGCCCTGAGGGCCTTGTCGAGCCTGCCTTCACTTAGGGCGGCCGACTGGCTCCAAAATGGGGGCTGAATGGGGCTCATAGAGGCACTAGCCTCGCATCCGCACCTAAGCTGCACAAACGCCTTTACCCCACATGGAGGGATCCCGGCGAACTCTTGCCATCCGATGTCCACATCTGACGGCCGGGTAAATGTCTACATTTCACCGTGTGCAGTCCTGCTGGGGCCCCTCAAGAAACGAAGTACATAATGGTTGATGTGACCAAAACAGAACTCGTCAAAAACACAAACACATTTCCGCGCCACGACAGCCGCATCAGAGTTCACATCGGACGTCTCCAAATCTTTCATCTGAGGGCTGGCCGCGATCGCGGCAAAATGACATACTTGCCAACATTTCGACGGTGCAGAAAGTTGAAGCAAGATGACAACTGCAGATCACACATCCAGGGTTGGCATCCCCCAGCGGCATCCACGTCAGGAGCCTGCGTCCGATAACCTCAAATTGGCCACTATAGCGGTTAGGTACGAGCGTGTGAGTTTTGGTGTGAGCACAACTTGGTGCACGGGAAACATGATCTTTTGTTTTTCTTTTTATTTTTCGAAGGGGCCCACAAGGTCCAACCGCCAAGCCTCGCCCAACCCCCGAAAAGTTCGGAAAAGATGGGAAAACAGCCATTTTTCCTTTCCCAAGACTAGCAGAGGTAGTGGTGGTTAAAAAAAAAAAAGAAAAACAGCAGTTCAGTCAAGCCCTAGAAACTGAGATGTGCTCATTTTGCTATTAATCATCGTCAAAGGAACGAAAGACTTTCACATGCGCTCCTAAAATCTAAACCAGGGCTCTGAATACAGAAAAGCAAAGCATGATATTTCATTACAAAATTATATTCGGAAAACACCGGTAGCAGCTGGCAACTCTTTTGCAGAGACGATTTTGTTTTATTGACCCGGCATTTTGGTTAGGACTCGGGAGTAATGTTCCTTTGGAGAGCAGGTTTTCTCACACTCTACGAATCATGACGGTGCAGGTTGTCACGCACCCTCGTTATCTGCACAGTCCACGGACACTTCAGTACAAGCAAGCGATTGTTTTTTTAATTGAAAGTTGACGATTTGAGAGATGGTTAAGGGAGGCCTAAATTTTCAGAACAGCTGCAAAGTGGGGTTCCCCGCTAACCTCTTGTGAAAACTTTGGGACGCTGATGCAACTCTTTTCTACTCTTCTCAGGGCACACTCTCTAGCACTTTCCTAAACGTATATGACTGCAATTATGTCCAGACCTGGATGAATGTGACCACAACCATGTCAAGAGCTTAGCAGAAGAAGTCCTAATTTTATTATTCTTCAAAAGGGAAGATCTCGTAGATTGTAATGACCCGCCAAAACACAGACTGAGAGCACTGCTGATTTCTGGGATTTGCTGCTGAATGTATGCCTTGCTGAGATTCCCGCATTCTGCTGTGACTTCTAAGTCTGTGTGTGTGTGTGCCTGCTGGCCTGCGTGCCTGTCTGAGTGCTTGTCGGCCTGAGTGTGTGTGTGACCCCACAAGGGTACTTGTTGGTTGGGAGGCCCCGCAGGGCCAGTACTTACCTTTGGCCGTGACTTTGAGGGTTGCAGCGGGGAAAAACACTCAAGTAGCGGGGTTAGGCCCGGGACACTTAGAGCAGCGGGAAAAACACTCAAGTAGCAGGTAGGCCGGTACCACTCAAGTAGTGGTAGAAGTGTCGGGCTTGAGGCCGAGCAGAAGAAGACAAAAACTTGGCATTTTTAGAGGCCCAGTAGTGGTAGGCTAGAGGTAGGCTGGTACCAGTCGAAGTAGCCTGAGTCTAGGGCCTGTATGGACGATATCAGAGCCTGCAATGATGTTTCCCTCCGAAAGGGAGGAGGTACCGGTTGCTGGGAGGCCACGCGAACTAGGAAGTCAACGCCCAAGAGGCAAGTAGGCCACTATATCTTCGGGAGGAGCAAGTAG